TTCGTAGTATCTACAAACCCATACCTGTGCACTCATATAATCTTACTCATAATCCTTGAGCATGCCAAAATTGTATGATTAATTTCCTACATGAATTAATGTACAGAATAGCCTTACCTTCATTTGCCTTGTTGGAGCAGAATTTAATTTAATTTACTCTCTCAATAAAAAAGTATAGTATATACATATGTATGTTGTATGGTATTACTTACAACCAACCAATTTTGGTAGAATAATATGCAAATCTTTTCAATGCTCAGTCGCTCGTAAAAAATAATCTCTAAAATGTTCTGTCAGGCCTTGGAAATCTCTCCGGTCACTTAAATATATACATAGCCACTTAAATAAGTATGCACATACTTAATTATCTATATATGAGCAAACAAACACGCAAAGCTAATTTGGTAAGCTTCCTGTAAGGGAGCGTTTATTGTTGAAGTTTAACCCTTTAATATAATTACACACACATTTTAAGAATTTTATGCGAGCTTTTACGCTTGAGTGCGCTTATAAGCAATGATGTACTGAAATATCAAGAACGCTTCAATACAAAAAGAAAGCACGGCATTCAAGTATACTAAAGGTTGTTATAGAGGTACTTTTAAATCATGAAATGCACGGTACAGGATATATTCTTAAATTTCAGAGACATTTTCAGAAACCATAAATTTGCTAACAACTTGTATAATAATCCGGTAGTCCGAATTTTTTTACTTTTGCTTTTGTTTAGCAAAATATTAGTGGTCCGCTATTCGTCAATCGAAAAACTAGCAGCCCCTGGGGTGAAACCTTGCTGCAACATTTCATCAACTATTAACGCAAGGTTTATTACTGTGGGGAGAAAATAGTAAGAATTTTTTATTTAATTATTTTTTATTAAATTAAAGAATTGGTCAAAGATCTGGCATCGTTAGCATATCGGAAAGATTAGTGAAACCCATTTTGAAAGATCATTTGGGCTTAAGAAAAGTGAAAGCACGATTGGTTCCAAAACCTCACAATTTTTTCGAAAAGCTGCGTCATCGCGTTAATGCAAAAAATCGCCTCAAAGCAGTTCAAAACTCGAGGTTTGCTTCAATTATCGAGATGTGGTGCACTCCGAATTCCTTCCGGAGGGCCAAACTGTCAACAAGGAATACAATTTTAGTGTTTTGCCTCGTTTGCGCGAAGATATTCGTAAAAAGGGGCCGGAATTATGGGCCGACTATTCTCGATTTTTGCACCACGATTATGCATAGTCGAATACTGCATTCATGTTTCGTGAATTTTACAGTTATTCAGCATACTCAAACGACCGCTCTTGGGCAACCCTTTAGAGTCAATTGAATACATGAAACGTGAATCGATACACAGATAGAATAATTTTCCAGAAATTTACTTTATCAACTGTTTCGAGGGTTAGAAAAGCACAAGTGTCTTGGGGCCAAAGGGATTACTTTGACTGGGACGGCAAAGATTTTGAAGAATAAATTTAGAATTTTAGAATTATGAACAAAGTTTTGCTCTTTTTTGCTTAAAGTAGTATTTGTCATTAAGTCATAAGAAGAAAGAGATATCAAATATCACCGCTCACAGCTAGTTGGAATGGAAGATAGCTAATAAGAAATCCTTATGGAGTTTACGTTCAGTAGGCAATAATCAAATTCCGCTCGTGTTACGGCATAAATATTATATATAAATTATTGTCTCAGAGCTATCTATTTAAGTCTTTCAATAGCAAAAATAAACATAAAATTCGTTTCTTTAAAAAGTGTTAGCTTGTTATCAGCAAAAATTGTCTTCGAGATTATAATTAAAGAATTTCTAAAAAAGTTAGGGAGATGTAAATAGTAATCTTCACATTATTTTTGGGCATCTTTATATATAATATATAATACTAAAATCTACTGTTGTCACACGCTGCAACACTCTCAACGAGAAGCTTGATATTAATCAGATGTAGAAGTGACGGTAAAAATTTATGTTCTCTTGAAACTGAATAACTCACCTTAATACGAATAATATGTATGAGCCAGCATGAAAAATGAAGGTAATGGGAGGTGGGCGGAAATTAAAGCCTGAAAGATTTAATAGAAAGCAAGTAAGTAAGGGCTAAGTTCAGGTGTAACCAAACATTTTATTTCGGCGCAAGAATCAACTTTTCAATTTTTGGTAGACTCACTTAGCTTCGTGACTATATTTTGCTTCAAATCCCGGATATATTGTTACTAATATCGACCAAATTAGATATTGACTAATTTTATGTATTTTTGACACGAGGGTGCATTATTATTAAATAAATAATTTCTACGAGTTCAAAAAAAAAAAATGTTTGACCAAAATATTTTTAATAAAAGGGTAAATGTCAGCTATAAACCGATTATGACCTATTTTATACCTGAAATAGACCTAATAAAGGTACTATTTGTTTTCTCTCAATATACATATGCTTTAGTATTCTAGAGTGTGTATGTTAAAGTGAAAAAATTATATGAAATTTAAAATTGTGTTAAATGAGAAGAAGGGACGAGAAGGGAGTTTCATTTATTAATGAGTTATCGTACTTTTAGTAGTTTTGATCCCATTTTCACCAATTTTACAATTACGAAAGGGATACCAAGAATATTTGCCTATTAGTCCTGAGCGAATTTCAGCGATTTAACTGTACCATCTGTTGCAGCATGTTGCGATAGTATAATGAGGCTGTGGTGTAAAATTTCCCCATCACTTATGAGCACTCTAAGGCTCACTCGATGATATACATATGAACAAACATACAGTATGCAAGTACGTCTCTAAGAAAATATGAGCACCAAGCAAACGCAGAGAGTAGCGAGAGTAGGAAGTCAACGTATGCAGTTTACAAGCTTTACGGAGTAAGCAAAGCATCTGCTATGGTTATGAATTGCGCTCGTTAGAATAATTTATGTAAGCCACATAAAGCTGATTTTATTATTTATAATTTTGTAAAACATGAAATGTATTTTCCAGCGACCATCTAACTACCATTTATCGAAGTGTTTTTATTTACTGCTGTTCCTAGTAAGGCAAGCTGAATACTAGCGCGGGTGTGTTGTTGAAGATGGCATCAAGTGTAGAGTGTAACTAAAAATAGATCAACTAACAGAGATAAATTGTGGTCTTTATGTAAATTTGCAATATGCGCTGGCCTGGCCATATTGACACAAACTCACATATTTTATTCATATTCAAGTTACAGCATGTGATTATTTTAGCAGGATTTACTTATATTTTTACATTGTGACAAAAAAAGTACACGGAAATTTTAAATAAATTACAAAATATAATTTTATTATTCCAGTCCTCTAAAAGCTTTCCTTAGGCACTTTTTGTGATGGCCTTCAGCTCCTTGAGCAAATATTCTCGATTCACTGAAAACGGGCTCCACTTAGTAGCAATTTTTGTTTGGAGAACAAGAAAAAATCACACGGCGCAAAATCTGGTGAATACGGTAGTTGATCGATGGTATTCATTAGGTTTTTGGCTTTAATTTGGTCATAATCGTCTCTTTATGCAATGGTGCATTATCATTATTATAAAATCCATGAAATATTCTTCATAATTCCGGCCGATTTCGACGACTGTTCTCAACGCCTTAATACGGCCAAATAGAACTCTTTGTTGAACGTCTGTCCCACCGAAACAAATGACGCACCAAACCACGAATATCGGAAAAACAATGAACATGACCTTACTTTTTGAGCGGCTTTGGCGTGGTTACTTTTGGTTCGTTTTTTCCCTCTGTTCCGATGATTGTTGACTTGTTTGCATGTCAAACTTGTAAACCCCTGTCTCATCGGCAGTGATAATGCTCTCCATGAATTTGGGATTAAATTTCGCACAATCAAGCATGTCCAATGACATCGGTTTACACTTCAAAAAAAAAAACCCCCACCAAAATCATTCAAACGAACTCCCGAGAGATATCGAGCTTTTGCCTGACGATTTTTAAGGCCCATATCCTTCACTTTTTTAATATTTTCATCAGTTGAAGAAGTCAAAGGTTGTATCACTCGTAAGTTTGTGCTTTTAATAAACCCGAATCACCGTAAGCATTTTTTAACATTTACAAAGACTACGTTGCGATATTTGGTTAGAAATACAATTTTTCCTTTTTCAGATCGCGCTCAAACTCGAACACATACACTTCTTTTTTTTTTTTTTTTTTGTTTTGAAATATAATTTACGCGGAGAATTTAATTACAATTTTCGGGTGCTCCTTTGTCACAATGTATATTGCGGCTAACTTTTGGATATATTTACACCATGCTTTGAACAAAAAAAAAAAATAAGAGATTAAATTTCATAAAAATGGTTATCGTAATTACCTAACCTTAACCATCCAAAAAATCATAAGTAGTCTAAAAAAGTTCGAAGTAAGAAATGCATAAGCTCAATATATTAGCCTCTTTTGGTTCAGATTTTACCTATTACCGCACAGTATTATGCACTTTTTATCAAAATCAGATTTAACAAAAAACTTTCTCTTCATTTCTTTCATTTCAGCTTAAAACGAGTGCTCGAACTAAAGTGTCACAAGTGATAACCTGTCGAGAATACCTCCACAGCGACTCCGTTTTGCAAGGCGCTCAAGCCTGCGAGTAGACAAGGGACTAAGTAAGGTATGCGCTGATGTCTTAGCGGCAAATTGGATGCGGCATGATAGGCGTTGAACCAAATTGGAATTAGCAGGTCCACGATGTAACTGTCAATAAAACGACAAATAGAGACATTGTCTAATAAAAAATAGCCAAAATATTGCGAGTCAACAAACAAAGAAAAATGGAAACAAATTATTGCACAAAATAGAGTAAATAGCGCCGGCAATAAAGAAAGCCTTAACAACTAAGTTAAACAACAACATTAAGAGGTCGACAAGCGATTGTCAGCCACCAAGAATATCCGCCGCAAACACACGACGACCTTCTCTGCCCACGCCGAATTCCTGCGAACGGAAAGTGTCTTGCTTGATATTATTGCACGGCAGACTAGCAGTCCGTTTACGAACGCCGTTTTTTCACTAAACGCCACCCGACTGACGGTGTATTTGCACTTTGTTTTGTTTCTTGTTACGACATTGTGTATTTTAGTGTAAAAGGTGCCATCAACAAAACAGCAGTCGTGGATACCGCAGGTGATTATCACGAGTCAGTGCTAGTGCCGCCGCCCTGTCAACCTGCCACACCGCCCTACCAGCGGCTAACGAAAGCGCTGCAGTGCGATCCAAGATGCGGACACGAGGTAATTATGCGACCGAATGAGGAAGGAGATTAAAATAAATAGCTAAAGTTGTTGAAAGAAATGGGATAGGGAAATACAAAGTACACATAAATTAGGAGCACTCAATTGCGTTAAGTTTTATATCCTCTAAGTTAGCAGGTATAGTCTAACAACGTACTGTTCCAGTCATTAATAACGGGAAATTTTTAGAAGAATGTGGTATTAGAAAAAGTAGTAAGTCATCTCTCTTCAATTATTTTAATGAAATATAACTCAATGTTTTCTTATGGTCCTCGCAATATGAGAAAGAGTGAGTTATAGACTCAAATCCTGAATTGATAGCGAAAGTAAATACCACTAGCTAATACAATAGACTAAAATTTAAATATTTTTTACTAATAATCAGAAGTAGATACCGTGAAACTGAGCAACTCAATGTGCTATCTCTCTCTCTCTCTCTCTCTCTCTTATCACTTTTCATCCTTTGTTGATTTTCCTCCACCGTTATACATGTCACTTGTGTTCCATTAATCTAACTTCAACAACCTGATTTGATATAAATTTTTGGGGATCTCTTGGATCAACTTATTATGAAAGCCATCTTACTTACTTTGTTTCAGAGAGCCAGAGCATCGTAGTCTTTTTCAAGCAAAAGTGGCATGGTAGTAGCAGGTATATTTTTACAAAGTGGGCTTCGTTTAGGCATTAATGTATGCACTCCGATAGTAGATCTGTTACAGAGGTCTTGAGCTCGCTGCCAGTGAACTCAAAACTAGTCACTGAGTGCATGATGTCACTAGCATTATCATCGATTTACTTGCATACTAAACTTGTTTGTTATCTTACTCAATGAGAGACAAGTTTTCTACAAGTAAAAGCTAATTAAACGTTGAGATCTCATTGAAAAGTTCCTTTTTTAATTTTGAATCAAGACTCAGGAGTATGATGGAAACTTGAACATATGTTTTAAGAAATCATCGTATTATATTAGGATACATTAGTTAAGTTACGAAAGATGGCTGATCACTCAGCATGGCGGGAGATCACACTTAGACTGTATTGTATAGTATAGTATTTTTTTGAAGCCAAAATAAAAACTCATGTAGGTGAATTTCAATTATCTTCAAAAGCGCCTTGAGGGATGTGATCCAAGGAGTATTCGCCTTGAACTGACAAATGCGCAACATTCGAGAAGGAAATGTTGAGATGATGAGAGATCTTCTTCCTTAGTAGGTAGTTGACCAACACTGGCTGATTTGGTGTTTGACTCAGTCCAGTAGTGAACTGTTCCATTCTTCTCCTTCTTCTTCTTAATTGGCGTAGTCACCGCTTACGCGATTATAGCCGAGTTAACAACCGCGCGCCAGTCGTTTCTTCTTTTCGCTACGTGGCGCCAATTAGATATTCCAAGTGAAGCCAGATCCTTCACCACTTGGTCCTTCCAACGTAGTGGAGGTCTTCCTCTTCCTCTGCTTCCCCCGTTTTCGTCCAACCGGACAACAGACCTAGCCAGCGTAGACGCAAAGGTGATCTAGTCACCGATACCCAGAGCATACTTAAATTATGGAGGGAACACTTCTCCAGCCTGCTGAATGGCAGTGAACGCACAACGCCAGGA